CTGAGGGGGAAAATATAATTATGCTGTTTACAATGCTTTTAAACTCATACTGCTTTAGAAAAATGCCAGATTACACCACCAAAATATAAAAGCAAATTTGGCTTACAATGAATCTACTTACCCAAAAGTACCCAATCTAGCCAGGACCTTTGAAAGCAATCAGGTAGGTTGTTAGCTATTTGCAGTATCTCAAAAAGCCTAATAGTAAGTGAACACTTGCAACACGTAAACAAAAAATCATCCTCTCGCTCTCATCCCTGCCTCACCCACACACACACATTCTCTCACACAAAGCAAAACACATCAGCTTTCATATGGTCACCCTATTCCCTAGAAAGAACAAACCTCCCTTGCTATTTTCTCAGAATTAAGCAGTGCAATAAAGTAGTATAGTTCTGAATCAACTTCCAGACACTGCCTGCACCTGCATAATTATTTCATTGCCAAGCCATCTAAGTACAACCAAGTAAAGGAGAAGAAAAGAAAGATAGCCTTTTAAGCATGACAATAGGCCATATTCCTGTTTTATGAAGTAAGACCACATCTATTAATCACTTATATATTCTAGAAAAATTACTATCAACTTGAATTTACATAAAGAAATAGACCTACACTTCGCTGAACAATTTATTAACTAAGATCTTAAGGAATTTTCTTCAACTGAGATGTTTATGTTCATCTATACTAATTGTAATTCTCCTTTTATAAAACTATATAATCTAAGTACTGAAAAAGGGGAAATAAATTTGTCTTTGCTTTCTAACATGTAAAAGCCACTAATGCAACTAGCTTGATAAATGCTAGAAATTATTCTTTTTCAATAGGGATAAAGAATATTTCTACCTTGACGTTTTGACCACTAATATATATACTAATTTGTGAATCTTAATTTCACCATGGATAAACTTCTATCAGTAATTCTGAGCTCTCTGTCCTGCTTCTTACTTGCTATAATCTTTCCTGCTTTTACCCAGGTCAAGGAAATAATAGTCTACTTAATAGTTCCATGACGTAATTCTCACAAAGTTTTCCTGCTACATAGGAACTATGTATTTTTACAACTGGGAGAAATCCTCGGCCTATGTATAAGGTCTTATTTCAGTCTACAATAAATTGAAATTTTAATTAGAAGAACATAAAACTGGGCTATGACAAGTATTTTAATTTTAAAGCAGTATATTTATACATAAAAACTTAATGCAGATTAGGCATTCATTTACAAAGTACCTGGTCACTTTTCTTACACTTAGAATTTAGAGATTAAGGGACCACAAACAAACTAGATCACTATCTTCTATAATGGTTAGCTTTTGAAAAGAAGAAAGGGCACTCATACAGGTTTTTGCATGCCCATGTTCATGGTAGCATTATGTGCAATAGTCAAAAAGTAGAAGCCATCCAAGTTTTCATGCATGGATGAATGAACAAAATGTAGAAGATACATATAATGGAATGCTATTTAGCCTTAAAAAGGAAGTAAATTCTAACACATGCTACAACATGGGTGAACCATGAAAACATTATGCCAAATGAAATAAGCCAGTCATAAAAAGACAAATATGGTATGCTTCCACTTATGTGAGGTACCTAGAAGAGTCAGAGTCATAGAGACAGAAAGTATTAGAATGATGGCTGTCAGGGGTTTGGGAAGGGGGAAATGGGTAGTTAGACTTTGGTGGGTACAGAGTTTCAGTTAGGGAAGATAAAAAAGTTCTGGAGATGAATGGTGGATGGTTGCATCATCAATGTGAATGTACTTAAGGCCATAGAACTACACACTTAAAATTAAGTAGTAAATTTTATGCTATGCATATTTTACAATACAAAAAAGTATAGCTGAGTAACATGAAGAACACTGAGTAATATCTAGTCACAGATGAAAACAGTGAGTTACCAGATATCCTATTTTTTTTAAAAGGACACCTATACCTGATGAGTCTTTAATTTCACTATTTCTGGTTTTGTTCTCTCCTTTCTCTTTTATTCCAAACATACTAAATTCATTTGATTCCATTTTTAAGTTTTATGATTTATATATAGGTTTTAAGACTGAAAGACCAGACTCGAAGAATTACCAACTGTTATGTTCAAAAGAATTGTATTCTTCTTGGAGTCTAACCCACAATTTACATACAGGCAAAGAACATGATTTCATTTCATATGATAGTATATTTTTGTAAAAAGCATTATTCTTTTATACAATATTAATCCAAGTCAATTTTCTAACTAGTCTATGCATCCATGAGTTATATACTTTTTATAACCCCATCTATGGATTTTATGAAATTTGAAATAATGTTCTAAACTTCAGTCTTAACTGCTAACTAGAATTCTTGAAGAATTACTGACCCATGATTAAATAATTTATAGGAACCTGCCTTCAAGTTCATTATTTTCACCAGGAAGCTGCAAAACATACATTCTCAGAAAATTTTATTTTATCTTATCTTAAATGTAGTAGTTAAGGGCTTGCACTTTGCAGTCAGATAGCCTGGGTTTGAATCCTGTTTCTACCACTTACTAGATGTGTGATTGGGTACATTATTTAAATTCTCTAAATCTCAGTTTCCCTGTTTTTAAAATGTGGATATTAATACCTAAGAGTTGCTGTGAGCACCATGCATATAAAGCTCCTCTGCAGTATCTGACGTGTAGTAAGTTCTTAAAAAACAGGAGCTATAAATACCACTAATAACAGCAGCATGTAGAAATGATAAGTGCCCTATGCCACTTTTAAAAACGACACCACAGTTTTGACTCTAATATGAATCCAGAAAAAAGAACAACTGTGTATTTTGAGACTTGTTTTCTTTGTTCCTCTCTTCCAAATAACTTCATTCTTATTATCAATCATATTAAGCAAAAAAAGAAATTAAGTCCAACAAAAATGAGAAGACCAGGTATGTATGTGTGTATATACATACACAAACACACATCTCTCTCTAATGTGCTGTATATGATTTCAGCAAGTTGTACAGAACCATGGGGAAGAAGTTGAAAAGTAAACAGGAAGAGTAATAGACTGCATTTGTATATGTACAAATACAAATTTCTAAGTTCAACTATTTGAATGATTAATTCAGAATCATATTATTGTCAGAAAAAATATACTGTATTTCTTCTGGTAATTGCCCTAGGAGACAGATACACAAGTTCAGAAAAATTGGATATTTTCATCCGTTTTTATCAACGTACACAAGAGAATTTCATATTTTTTTTAAAGTAAAAACAAACTGCTACTACAGTTACTGCTACTATTTCTAAAGTATATAATGTTTGATGCTGGGATTTCTGCCACGGTTTCATTTGAAAGTACAAAGGTTTTGTATACTATCTACTTGGACACCCCAACTTTAAAGAAAAATGGAAATTTTATAACATACTTCTGTTTCTGAAAATGTGTTCCTTGGAGCACTAACGGCATAACATAAGAGGGTGGGAGGATAAAAGGGTTCTGAGAAATCCTGCAGTGAGCAGAGCTGTTTAAAGTTGTTTAGTGTTCCCAAAATTTATTTGGCCATAGAATTCTTTTTTCAAGCAATACCAAGGAACCAGTATTCCTCATAACAACTTATTTTAGGAAATGTATAATAATTGCCTTTCATTAACTATTTAAAAGGTAATTTTATGCACCCATCCCAAAAAGATAGTCACTGGCAGAATTTGCTAAAGTCCCAAAATGAGTCCATGATATTTCATGTCAGGAAGAAAATCTAACATGCCTAGATTTATATTTGTACTATCTTGTAGTTATTTCCAGAATGTGTGTTTTAATCCCTTTTCTGCCTGTTATTTGTTAGTTAATCAAGTCCAAACACTCCATTTCTAATACCTGTAAAAATCTAAGAATCAGTGTGACCCTCCAATCCTTTCCCTTTCTTTCTGGGCTTTGGTGTAAGCTAAGACAACCCTGTAGCTATGAGCTACATCTTCAAATATAAGAATACTAAACTCAGTTACCAGCATTTTAATAACTGGTGATTATAAGCTGCATTGATGCAATTCTATAGTAAAATAATGAAGCTTCTACCACATTAATCCTGAAGCAACACAGTGACTGATTATTATTGACATTTCATTCCCCTGACATCTCCCTAACATTCCTATAAAGTATATAAATTACTGTAAACACTGCTTTATCTACTGGAGATTGAGCAGCTTGCCCCAAGTACCAAGAGTCAACAGGGACCAATTTCCTGTTGGACAGATACCGTGCATTTTACAACTATAGAAACTGCATCAGATAATCACCCTGAAATATGAACAAAAACAGGAAATTCCTTTACTAATAGCTTATTATTTAAGGAATTTCTTCTTTTGAAATAATTTTAGAACACAATTTGCTAGAAATCTAAACTTGAACTAAAAAAATCTGATGGCATGCTAGATAGCTTTTTTGTTGAGTTCAGAAATTAAGAACAAAGTTTTAACAACTGTAATGAGGCATTCACTACTTTGTCTTTGTGTTGGATGAAACAAAATAAGTAAGCTACAGTTAATTCTGGGTAAAGTGAGAATGTGAATTATTATGCTGTCAGGCTGTTGCATCACTTTCTTCTTAGGTTCTCCCTTCAATTCCAGAAGTACATAAAAGTGTAACAGAATGGTTGAGGCGGAATAGACATCAACAATTTTTTAAAAGCCTAACAAAGAAGACACAATGACTGTTATTATGGAAATAATACATGTAAGTAATCCATGGATATTTGGTCACTGATTTTCAAGTTATACAAAATAAGCTGATCATTGAAAGAAAAAAAACACTTAAAGACATTTATGGCAGAATACATGTAATCACAGTATTCTATATTATGATAATATCTATCAATAACATTTTATCAGAGATATGGCAAATGGTCGAGGAGAAAAAAGTCTGACATGAAAGGAGTCAAGAATGTTGATAATTCAGGAAAGGAAAAGGAGTTAAGAATCAAGTTTAAGTTTCATAAGGTTTTTTTTTTTTTAATGTAGAAGCAGAGGTAACAAAAATTGGTCTTCACCTGGTAAGTGTGTACTCCCTGAGTCCTGAATGCAAATTCATGGCAGAAAAAGTACCTATGCATCCACGCAATCTTTTGTCTCGACCAATCTTCCATGTTACAAACAGTGGGCTGTAATGGAAGATAAAAATAGGGTAAATCAATCAATTCAATTCAAAGAAATATTTGTTGAATATTTACTATACCAAAGTTAGGTGCCTGAAATACAAAGACTAGATGACAGGCCCTCAGGGGCTTAGCTGCATTTAGAAACAATTATAGCTACACTGTATTAAATGTATTCTATATGTTGGTGGTGGTTTAGTCACTAAGTGTCTGGCTCTTTTGAGACTCCATGGACTGTAGCCCACCAGGCTCCTTTGCCCATGTGATTTCCCAGGCAAAAATACTGGAGTGAGTTGCCATTTCCTCCTTCAGGGAATATTCCTGATCCAGGTATTGAACCCACATCTCCTGCACTGCAGGTGGATTCTTTACCATCTGAGCCACCTGGGAAGCTCTATATGTTAGAAAGTCCAATAAGTGGTTTTAACAGATTATCTATGTTAATCCTCATCAACAACTCTAGAGGCCTGATACTATTACTAACATTTCCAATTTTACAGATGAAGCAGTACCACAGTTAATACATCATGAAGTAGGAACTCAAACCTGGGCAGTCTTGACTACAGAGCCATTACTGCCTGATTCCTCATTTAAAACCCAAGTCACCAATTGATTCCTAAGTCTAGTCTAGAAAATCAGGGAGTAAAAACCAACAGATTCAATCAATACTTACTGAATATACGGGGGTGGGGGTGCAAAGCACTATGAAAGGTGCTATTGAAGATATATGCTATTGGAGATGGTGCTATTGTAGTTGCCTAAGACATAGCCTTTGCTCTCTGAGAGCCAGTAATAGGAGGAGGGCTTGTTCACAGCTAACTAACACAAGGCAAAAGGAACTAAGTGCTAGAAGCCCTGTCCAAAATGCCACAAATTAAGCTACTGGGATAGGAGTAAATTTCATCAAGTGTGATCATCTTCAGCTTGGCCTAGAAGAATGAGTAGGGTTTGGAGAGGTGAAGGACAACAGCAATATTAACAAAGTAATACTCTGAAACCAGAAAGTTTATTTCAATTTTTAGATAAAATTACTGCCAATAAATAAAATAAAATCTTTCAAGCATCAAATATCAAAATGTCAATTAAAATGGCAACAAGAAAACAATTTAGTTGTTTGGATTGTTTTAAGAAGGGTAATACAGTTTTTTTTGTTTGAGTTCATAGTCTGCAGACTTTATTTTTTATATATTCTTTTTAAAAATTCACTTATTTTTAATTGGAGGATAATTGCCTTACAATGTTGTGTTGATTTCTGCCATACATCAACATGAGTTGGTGTTATACCATAGGTATAACATGTGGTAAGTCTTAAATTAAGTTTAATACAGTAGATGTTTGGATTCTGAAGCAAAGCACTCACACCCTCAATTAATGGTTAATTTTAAAAACAACTCTTTTATAAATAGAAGCAACTTTGTCAGGTTTTATGAAATAAATTAATTCATACATTTTAGAACATTTTATAAAAAGATTAACACTCTATAGTTGGGGATGGTCCCTGTTAATATGAGTATTCACAGAATTTGGTATAACATAATATTCAGCTTTCTAAAAACTAAAATTTTATGGGATATACCATATGTCATATATTTTTATATAATTATGTATAATATATTTATATTTTATATTAATATATTTATAATTTACATTAATATACTGGAGAACACATTCTTTATTTCAAGTACTCTCTAATCAGTCATCAGCAGTTTGGGGAAAAGATATCCTATTCAAGCACTTCAGTCACCCACCTCAAACATCTAAATTATGCTGTGTTCCAACAAGTAACCACAATGGCAGAGAGACTCCCAAATAAATAATCCAAACCAGGGAGTGGTACTAAGAATTACCTCCTTCTAAGAGCCAAATGCCCAAAGGCATTGAAAAAGATGACTAAGTTTTGCCAAGTTTTGTCAATGTTATTATTCACATGCTGGATGACCTATACTAAAGGTACTAAAATGAAAAGCAAAAGGTAAATTCTAGGGGTTTTTTTGTTTGTTTTCTACATCATATGTGCTATCTTATAACTTAATACAGGGTTCTAATGCTCCAGCTGAAATTTTTCTCTAATTGCTCTTGATTACTAGTTGATCAGGAATGTAAGTATTAGATGGAATCACTTTCTCACCAATTATTTTATTACTTGCACAAATACTAGTATCCTAAAATTCACACATATTGTCTTTAAAGATGAATTTCACCTCTTCATTTTCACCTTCTAACTTAGGGTCAATGTCAGCAATCATTAAATGAACAGTAAGATGTCAATCCTCTCCCATAACAATACCTATACAAAAGATCTGTATGTAAGATCCCTTGGCAGATTCAAAACAAAGTGAATCATTCTGTACCATATATAACAATATGTCTTTAAAATTCCATGATGGCTTCTCAATAACACAGAACTAAGTTGTATATTCTCTTCCTCAGTGACTTAAGCGGGAAACCTAAAAGTAGGAATGAATTTATTTGCTATCAAAAACATGAAAGTCATTTAAAAGCACTTTTCCTTCAATCCACTTATTTATCCCACTAAAATAGATAAGCATACCATTTTCACTGTAATCTTGTCTATTCAAGCAAACATTCGAAATTTGTAGAGTACATTTAAAAAAAACACCATTAAACACTATATTATGAAATGTGTTGGAGGGTATTCAAGCACATAGTGGGAGAAATTATATACAGTTTCTTATTGTTGTTGTTGTTGTTCAGTCATGTTGTTCAGTCTTTGCGACCCCATGGACTGCAGCATGCCAGGCTTCCCTGTCCTTCACCATCTCCCAGAGCTTTCTCAAACTCATGTCCATTGAGTCAGTAATGCCATCCAACCATCTCATTCTCTGTCATCCCGTTCTCCTCCTACCTTCAATCTTTCCCAACATCAGGGTCTTTTCCAATGAGTTGGCTCTTCGCATCAGGTGGCCAAAGTATTGGAGCTTCATCATCAGTCCTTCCAATGAATATTCAGGACTGATTTCCCTTAGGATTGACTGGTTGATCTCTCTGCAGTCCAAGGGATTCTCAAGAGTCTTCAACACCACAGTTCAAAAGCATCAATTCTTCGGCACTCAGCCTTCTTTATGGGCCAACTCTCACAGTTTCTTATTAGGCTATGCTATGACTAATGAAGGAATGATTCACTCAGAAGGTAGAGTGCTAGAGGATAAGCTGCATTTTGCCAGGCTCTCCTGGCCTGGGAGAACAGGTGCTCCATAATAAGCAAGGGCATGGAGAAGTAAAAGCACACAGTGCTTTCAGAGACCAAGAAGTAGTCTGACATTCCTGATAACTAATTATGGTCTCTTCCATATTTAACACTCTATGAATTTTAGGCACTGTTGAGTATATGTTCTCAAGAGCCCTCACAGAGGTAGAGCAGATGCAGAATCACCTGTACTCTCCCTGTTCCTTACCTGCCCCAGGCAACATCCTCTTTGGTGGGGGTGGTATTGCAGGGAAGTATCTGTGTCAAAGATGGGAAGGGACTGCTACTTGACAACCCCACTGTATTTAGGACAGAAGCCTGAAGATGGAAGAAATCAGACCTTTAGTAGACAGAATGAAACTACTCCTTCAAAATCTGGGACTCAGATTTCTCATTTGCAAATGCTCATCCAAAGTCTTTTATAAAGAACATGTTAAGTGGAAATAAAAAACCCCAAACATCTAAAAGCAATATTTATTTAATGGGGAAAATAACTTGGGAAGTTAAGCATTTTAAAGTAGACTGAAACAGAATAAACACAATGGAGCACAAGAGATTGTATCTTGTATATGGTAACTACTTTGTACAGGGCAATGGCTATGGGAACATCAATGCATATCATCTAAAAATAGCAACAGAAATTTTTCTTTTCCTAACACACAGAGGGAAGAAATAGGCAATTTCATCTTAAATGTGTTATTAAAACATATGAATTCCAAAAATGATATAAAACATCAGCATAATCAGAGACAGATCAAAGTAGAAAAAGGGACTTGAGGCTGTTGAGAGGAGCTGCTTACTCAATGACAGGGAAATTAAAAAAAAACAGTTCATAGTCATAGTAAGACAAAGAGTAAATGTTTTTCGAAAATACTTTCACTATATGGTTTTAAATACTTTCACTATATGGTTTGAGGCCACCAACATACATTGAAAAAAATGCTACAAACCAGAAAGGGGCTCAAAATGAAATGAAATATTAATGGAAATGTTTATCTGAAAGTAACCAGACATAGCTTTTCAAGGAATTTTCCCACTTCTGAACAGTTTGTGCCACTATGTTCTGAGAAATGTTTGGGGGAAAGTAAACACTCTCCATTTTTCCAAGTCTGTAGAGGAAGTGGAAGTAACCACCTCATCTAGGTAAATCCTCCCTGCCAACTGACAGACAGTACTATCAGGTCAGTAGTAGCTTTTAGGGGAAATGCAGTTGCAGGAAATCAGCGAAAGTCCAGAACAGCAATGTAAATCTGAGCAGGATACTCCCAAGTTGCATGCCACTTCCTATGCCTCTCTTCTAAGACTATTCTATTGATGTAGATCAGGATAGATTAGAAATATGTTTGTGGGAGAGCGGTACAACCATGAAAAAGGCATATTTACTTAATATATTTACCATAATACTTCCTCTGCCATACCAAGGCAAAAACAAAGGTTAAAAATATCCTTGGACACTAGCAAGCCCCTACTCTGGCAATTTACTCTTCTTTAGAATGAGATTTGTAGGTGGTAACATTAACAATACAATGTCAATCCCTATCAATATACTAATTACTGCTACAGGGGTCTTCAACAAGGTTATTTACATTATAGGTAGATATAGGAAAAGAGAGAAGTTCCTCTAGCTTGGTTCTTCTGCCATCAAACAATGATTGCTTTTCAACTGAACTCATGCTCCTCACCAACTTAGTCCACTGTATTACTCATAACACCCAACTCAACACTAATTCCACGGTACCTAGAAGCTCGGAGAACCACAGAAATGGCAGTCTTCCTTCCACAACCATATTAAAACCTT